CCATATTGGTTTCGCTGGAGTCGCACTCCGCCTGTGTGTAGGCGTCGCACGCCAGGCTCAACGTGAAGTAGGGGAGCGTTGAAGCGCCAGTTCCTTATTGTGTCTTCTTTTCCTCCTCATTCGAACTCGACCCACTTGAGGATGACGCGCTCTCGGAATCGCTGCACGACGAATCCTTCGCCTTTTCCTTTTCCTTCTTCTCGTTCTGCTCCTCCTTTTGCTCTTCTTTGGACTCTTCCTTTGGCTCTTCTTTGGACTCTTCCTTTGGCTCTTCTTTCGCCTCTTCTTTTGGCTCTTCTTTCGCTTCTTCTTCTGCCTCTTCATTTGGGTCTTTTCTCATTGTCCTTAGCTGCTCCTTTCTTTCTTGCATCTTCTCCTCATGGGTCTTCTCTTCTTCCATCTTTCCTTTTTTCTCCTTCCTTTCCTCTCTTCTTACTCGCTTGAGCACGAAGACGGCTGCGAGATATACTGTGCAACAAACCATGCATGCCAAACATCCTATCACGACACACATGACTAATCCCGGTCCTTGGTCTTCCTTTTCAACTTTCTTGGCTTCTCCCATTCCTATCAGGACAGCCATCGTTATGGCTTGTATGATCTTCGCCAATCGCTCTTTGTTCATTCGTCGGTCATTACCGCTTCGGCCATTGCCTTTCGTTCTTCGCACTCGAACATTTCCTTCAACTTCTTCTTGGTCCACAAACTCTCCTACATATCCAAGGCTTGTCATGTACTTCCGGATCTTGTCTTTGCTTAAACTCTTTGTTCCCAAATCGGCTGGGTTGTCCTTTCCTTTGATTGCTTTGATGATCAACCTTGGGATACTTTGGATCCATAGCAGGTCCACGTCGAGATGACGTGCTTTCCCCAGACCTTTCCGCGCAATCAACTGCCTTGAACTGCTTGAGTCTGAGTACAGTGCTCTTTTCCCAGGATCCTTGTCAACAACGACTTCAGGAAAACTCCTTCGGAGAGTATCGAAGTTGCGGCTATCGTTTCCGCTTCGCATGAGCTTAGAGCTATGCTTTTCTGTCGCTTGCTCTGAAAATGAATCAAATTTCCATTCAGCATGATCGCTCCACACGACACGCTCTGTCTTGACGCTCTGTCAGCTGCCCAATCAGAGTCTGTCACTATCTCCAGCAGTGACTCTTGCTCGTAAACATTTCTTTCTGCTTCTTCTTCTTTCCCCTCGTTTTTCTCTTCGATGAAACTTCTTCCTGGATAGCTCTTCTTGTGTATCAACGACACATCTGGTGTACCCTTCAGATACTTCGCAGCATGCCTTAGCAGTTCCATGTCTGCTTCAACAGGCGCTGCTAACTTCGTTGAAAGTTTCTTCAGCACATACATCAGATCGGGCCTTTCCGGTGCTAAGTACAACAGTATACCTACACCCTTCCTGTACGTGTGGTGATCTTCTTCGGACAATGGATCCATTCCTCCTTTCTTTGCCTGCATTGCTCTTCCGTTGTCTGCCGGGCATGGCAACTTCTTCGGATACGCTTGTTCCAACTCCAATGCGTCGACCAATCCTTCGATGTACTTCGAGTTCATCGTTATCTCAACGTCTCCGTCGTTCACGGCGCTGAAACCTCTCTTCAGAAAACTCATTGAACCTTCATGTACGTTCAATGGTCCTTCGACCTTGATCTTCAACTTTTTCTTCCTCAGAAACTCGATCAATCCCTGAAACTCTTCCTTCGTTGCGCACAGTTCCATGTCATCAACATGTGTCAACACCATTCCAGCTTTTCCTTTTTCTGGTCTTCTGTAGAACAAGGCTGGTAGTCCTTCGTCGGACTTCAGTCCGTACTTTTCGAGGTACCCTTTCAACTTGTTGAACCACGCGCTTGATCCTATCCGCTGGCCTGGCAACGTGAATCCGAGTTCGTAGTACTTTCCGTCGACTTCGACGACCGTTGGCTCCTCTTGCTCTACCATCAAGTAAGCATCTCCAACGTCTATGCTCCCGAGGATATGGTCCTTCGACGACACAAACATTGCTGAGAGCAACTTCACTGTACTCGCCACTCCCGTTGGAGAGAATAGCGTTGCAATGTCCGTTGAGCCTAACCATCTAAATTCGCGGGCAACTAACCGGCCACGCCTTTGCCATTCATTGTCTCGATGCCTCCAATCATAAACTACCTTGGTTGAGAGATACTTGTAGCTGCTCACATTTGCACTTTCTGGCAGCTCCTTCAAGACTTTCATCTCTGTGAGTCGGCTTATCTCGTGCTCTCTTGACACAACGTCGACCTTCGTCAGCTCACCTTCGTCCAACTTCGGAGGTCCATCTTCGAACTTGTTTGACCACTTTGGCATACTTTCTTCGAACTCTTCATCCTCTCCAAGCTCTGAGCTTCTTTCCTCTTCAGAACCTTCAAGTTCAACTTCGAGTCCTTCAAACTCCTCTAACCCGACCTCTTCGTCGTCATGGTACTTTGGCAAATCCTTCCTGAGGAATGATGCCACTTCCTGCACACTTCTTGTGGCCATGATTCTTCTCACAGTTCCCGATGGTTCTCCTCGCTGGATCTTCTCGGGTCGTTCTTCAACTTGTCCACTTCCTTCGTCGACTCTTGGCCTCGTTGCTTCAGGCTCTTCCGCGGCTCCTCCTTCGAGTTCTCTTTTACTCGTGCCTTCCGGCTCTTCTTCCTCAGCTAGCTTCATCTCGTTTTCTTGCCATTGCTCCTTTCCTGCTGCTTGCCTCAGAACTTCTCTGGCCTTCGCCGGGATCTTCATCATCATCATCATCATCATCACTCGTTGGTGGATCAGACGCCATTGCGTCGCTTGGTCTTTCCGACGCTGTCGGGCTATACTGCGGTGTCTCCAACCCGACTGCTGGAGTTCTTGGAACTTGCACTGGCGGTCCTTCGATCGGTGCCACCTCGATTCCACTTGACGGCGGTAGCCTCTTCGGCTGCTTCGACCGTCCTGTCAACTGCTCTTGACTGTAGTTCCACGGCGTTCCACAGGCATTCGCCAATGTCTCCACTTCAAACGTTGGCGCACATTGTCTCATTGTTCGACTCTTGATAATGCCACTTCTGGTACTCACCAGATTCATGTTTGAAACCATGTCCTTTCCAACGAAGATTCCTTTCTTCCACGGTTCACCTTTCTCCTTTGTCTTCGGCAGTGGTTTTGCCACAACCACACTGCCCCATGGAACTAAAATTCCTTTGTACTCACGGTCGAATACCAACTCGAACGGGGTCTTCCCCTGTTGTACAACAAACCTGTTCAGCAGGAGTGCTGCGTGTCTTGGTGCCCATGGATACAGCCTCAGGAAATGACCAATTCCACGTATATGAAGGTCCCAACCTCAGGAAATGACCAATTCCACCTGTATGAAGGTCCCAGCCTCAGGAAATGACCAGTTCCACCGAAATGAAGGTCCCAGCCTCAGGAAATGACCAATTCCACCTATGAAGGTCCCAGCCTCAGGAAATGATTAATTCTGGCTATATGAAGGTCCCAGTGTCAGGAAATGACCAATTCCACCTATATCAGGAAATGACCAATTCCGCCTATATGAAGGTCCCAGCCTCAGGAAATGACCAATCCCACCTATATGAAGGTCCCAGCCTCAGGAAATGACCAATTCTACCTGTATGAAGGTCCCAGCCTCAGGAAATGACCAATCCCACCTATATGAAGGTCCCAGCCTCAGGAAATGACCAATTCCGCCTGTATGAAGGTCCCAGCCTCAGGAAATGACCAATTCCGCCTCTATGAAGGTCCCAACCCCAGGAAATGACCAATTCCACCTTTATGATGGTCCCAGCTTCAAGAAATGACCAATTCCACCTATATCGCTCTGATAGATGTTAACAACGTCCACTCCCCAAGGTGAATCCTGACATGCAACAACCTTCCTACCAACACCTCCAAGAAGCCAAGGCGATGCGCTTGGGCAGCCGGCACGAGGGCATGTGAAATCATGACCATTAGCCCGCCTGATCGGAACTCTGAGGGACAGCTCGAGGTAATGATGTGCCAACCTGGCGTGGAGTACTCCGAGCTATGTTTCCAATGGGTCTCTTGGAGACAGACGATATGCGGACGAACCGCCTCAGGTGTTTGCAGCATGGCAGCCATGAAGACATCGTAGGCATCCGTCGCAAGGCCACCTACATTGTATGTCATAAACCTGATGCGAAATCCCGAAGAGGGTTTCGGAGCCGGGCCAGCAGCAAGGCTGTTCGGTCCTGGAACACCACATGGAGCACGCTTCATGCCTGCATATTTCGCCCCCAGCTGGTCAGACGTATGCCAGCGGCCTTTGTACATGGCCCCTCCATCTCGCGTAGCCCGACGCACGGCACGTTTGTTGGCTCGCTTCCTGGCATGTGAGAAAAGGGAGGCATCAACCTGACTGCGAGGACAGTCCGATAGAACACTGGGGGACCCAGTTGAAAGATATGACGACGCGTAGGGCTCAAACCCGTGATTCCCAGGTGATCGAAGTGCAGGATAGACATCAGAGAAAGCACCTGGTTCAGATGTAGCCGGGTTCACTACATCAACCCTCGCTCCTTGAGATCCTGGCAGCAATCCAGCCATGATACACAGAAGAAGAATAGGTGCGGCCCTTGGTACATATCGCGGACCAGAACACCTGCAGGATCTCATGCCGGATTTGGGACCGGCAGGGCTCAATCGAAAGAACAATCGAATAAGTGGGCACACATAAGCCTTTATACATGGCCTGGACCATATGGAGCAATTGCGCAGAGGTTCAGTATTGGTGGACGTGCAAGGGCTGAGCCAACAGAGAAAGTGACAGGGCCAGGAGTACCATGGTTGAACATCCTGGTGCGTGTGCAAGTCCATCCCAGCTCCAGACCGAGCTCGCTGCTTTCTGACTCCGAGGCGATGGCACTCTCTGGTCCCTATACACCTCCTTCTATAGACGCCCCACAGTATCCTTGTCATACCACGTCGTGCCTTCCATGGTGCAACAGTACACCACAGACGCTCTAGGATCAGAAGAGAAGGACACCCGCTAGACAGTGCAACAGCCAGCCTAGTCCAGCGAGTCCAGACACCCGGTAAAGATCGGCATTTTGTTGCCTCCATGCTTGCCTACGGGTTGACACAGCCCAAGCTGGAAGCAAGGCTAGCTGCTCCATTGGCTCGCGGTGCAGGTCCAGCCAATTGGCCTGATGGTACGACGGGATATGGTAGGCAAAGTCTGGACTGACAGGAATCCAGGTGTCCCGCCCAGTCGGCGTTGGTGCTCCCATGTTGCAATCCTGTTTGTCCGACAGGACCACCAATTACAAAGCAGACGAGGAGATGCAGGCGCCTGGAGCGGTGCACAAGGTCGGTAGCTTTCCCACCTAAGGTTGGTCAGACAAACGGACAGACTGGCCCGGCAGATGTGGTTCTGAGTAAGGAGCCAACCAGCCGCTGTGCATGTGCTTTGGCAAGGCCTGTGCCAGGCAGAACACCGAGGAGAGAAAAGCACGCTAATCCTGGCCTCTGGTATCCAGAGTGGGGCGACATTGTCCAAGAATGCCCTCAACATATCGGAGGCGCCTGCCACACACATAAGCACATGGTCAACCTGGTCAGAACCCACAACGGAAGGCATAGGGCCCGGCTGGAGACGCACAGCTTGATCAGGCGCCATACTGTTCGTCATGCAGTGGGCACCTAAAACACCGGACACAGGCCAGAAATCAGCGCAGAAATGATCAAAGGGCCTTTGGCCATCAGCCAGCCAGCAGCACACCCCGTCTTGAGCTGCACCCACACTGAGCGTGTCGGATTGTCCCAGGCCAGTACCCATGACAATGAAAGCAGTGGTCATTGGACGGCAGGCACAGGCAGACTGATCTTTCAAGCGGCCAGTTGAAAAAGCACCGGCGTACACTGTGAGTGCATGGGGATTGGTTCCCCGGTCTGACAGAGGCAGGAGCAAGTGCCCTCACCGTTATAGCATCTTGCAAGGAAGTTAAGGGGTTGGTACCTGGGTGGCATAACCTCATGCGTCGGCGAAGGACAGTCTTGCGAAGGGCAGCGCTAGCAGAGGGACACAGGACACACAAGAGCAGCCCTCATCTGGTATGCAATGGCACCCACTAGGAGTCCTACACTTACACCCCACAGCATCCAACAACCCAACCCGTAAATGAAGAAACCACTCCTGCCAATCCCTCGGTCTGCAGCTACGTGCTGGCGGCCACGTCAGGCTCAGGCAACATGCGTCTTTTCCCAGCTTCAAGCGCCAGCTCATTAGCCATACCTGATGCACCCGGGCATGGGGCTGAGTAGCACATCGGCAGGGACCCAGCTGAGGAGACAAATTCGCAGGGAAGGAAAACGACCCTAAGAGTCCAGGAAACAAAATCCATCCCCAACCAACTATATGCAACCCATGCAGGCCCCCACACCTCATCAGGTGCATCGCCACCCGTTGGGCGTCGGGCAGCTGGAGCTCCACAGCACTTCGTCCACGTACATGAGTGATCAAGCGCCATGCAACATCCTCTGGCGGAATCTGGCGTGCTTCAAGCACTGCAAATACAACCTGCAGACGATGTCGCATATCCGGCGACATACACCAGGCGGGGGTCCAGCCTGCACCCTGAAGGTGCCATGTAAGCTCCTCCACCAGTTCACCTGCACCCATCGTCTCAGGCGCCCTGTTGTAGTGCGGTGGCAGAGCATGACCAGGTATGAGAGGGCCACCGAGCATCGGCCCACCAGTAGCGCCAACGATCCTGCGGAGCTGCTCCACCGCATCCTCATTTCTCGGGCGTGTAGCGATAGGGGTAGGCGGCGGAGGCCCCCTGGGGCGGGCCTAGCCGGTGAGTTGGCCGGCGTCCCCCAACGCTGCCTGCTGCAGTGGATGCACTCGCCGCACCCGCGCTTGCCACCGGAGATCTCGATCTTGACGGCCGTGATCCCGTGTTGGGAGGTCTTCCTCTGCCAGATGCAGCAGCAGACGCTGCCCTTCCAGTGGGAAGCGGCCTCGGGCCATTGTCGCCGCGGGCATGGCTTCGTCCTCGTCCTCGGCCTCGAGCTGGTAAAAACTCACCTGAAGCTGAAGCTGCAACTCGAGAAAGATGCGTCATCATCGGGGCCGTGGTAGCATCGGTGTACCCCTGCTGTATCAGCACATCATGCACAGCTTGCGCCAGCTCCCAGTAGGTGAAGCTTTCCGCCACAACAGCCGACTCCAGCATATCAGAAAGAGCATCGAAGCCTTCCTCCGCCGGGGTTTCCCTGTCGTCCAGAATGTCGGCCGCTGATATGGCAAGCGCTTCGGCCAAGTGCGTCTTGCGCGCATCTGGGCTGGGCACATCGGAAGCCTCGTCCCCATCCCCAGCTGCTTGTGCAGGTATGGCCAGGAGCACCGTGGTTACATAGGCCATCCAGACAAACATCGTCCGCAGCCACGCCATGGCAGCACAATTCGCCCACTACACACACAACAAAAGAACTTTGAGCCCAGGAGCTTATTCAAATCACCATCGAAACACGCACAAGTCATGTCAGGCAATTCCAGACCGTAGATCTGTTGGCACAGACTCTAAAATTGGGTTTTTATTTTCCAAACAAAAATGTTTCAAATGTGTGAAAACATTTCCCGGCCAAAGATACAGGACAATCCATCGATGCCATGCTTGTTCATTTGTGTCCCATGCACAGCGATGCATTCACATGCACAGACTGCAATGACGTGCACCCTCACGCTAACAAGACTGAAGCTTATGCACAGGTATCTTTTCCAAGGAAGGGGATTTGCCATGTCTGCTTCCATCCGGGATCTGTCCTCTGCAGGTGTGTGAGAAACGAAATCTCCCCTCTGCAGGTGTGTGAGAAACGAAATTTCCCGAACGTCGGCTAACTCACTTCCCCTCACAGGTCCGACCTAGGTGTGACGGCCTGAACAGAATATTCATCAGGTTCATAACGACAGGTCAAGAAGTTTCTGGCTGTCGCTGAGAGCTTGACGAAGCGGCTTCATCCGGTTGCTCCAAGGCAGGTTCAGGGTTCACAAACTGCCACTGAGGCTGAAGAGCTGCAGCAGCTTCTCTTTGCTGCATCTCACGGTCCGCCATGAGATCGTCCAATACCTCAGCCACCTTCACGAGGGAATCCATGTTCAAAGCGTGAAGCCACACTCGAAATTCGTCTAGCTGAGCTCGTGTCAACGACCGCGCCATGAAGAGTGCTGAAAAAGGCAAAGTGGTGAGAAAAGCAATTCTCGAGCCACACAAAGTAAGGCTCGCGCTGATCCTGTGCACACAGAGTCATTTCCTGACATAGTTGCAAAATCTCCGTCGTCAACTGTTCCTGTGGTCGCCACTCTACAAGGTACGATATCCACAACCGGCACATTGGTTACCACATCCTAACTGCCAAATGTAAGGCACTATTGGAGTGGGTGGGTGGGCAGAAAATTTTCCCCGACCCTCTCCACGAGGGTCGTGACTGAGAGGGCTGTGGCCTCTCTTCGTCTGAGCCGAAAAACTTTCTCATTCGGAGAATTCGAAAATTTTTCTCCGGAAAATAAAGGTCTGTACTTGCAGCACGATAACCTTATTTTCCAAACAAAAATGTTTCAAATGTGTGAAAACATTTCCCGGCCAAAGATACAGGACAATCCATCGATGCCATGCTTGTTCATTTGTGTCCCATGCACAGCGATGCATTCACATGCACAGACTGCAATGACGTGCACCCTCACGCTAACAAGACTGAAGCTTATGCACAGGTATCTTTTCCAAGGAAGGGGATTTGCCATGTCTGCTTCCATCCGGGATCTGTCCTCTGCAGGTGTGTGAGAAACGAAACCCTCTCTTGGTCGGGGAGAATGCAAGTCCCTTCCTTGGTCATGGGAGTGTCAGGCGCGGCGCCCGACAAGCGAGTTTACCAGCTTGGCCATTTCCGCGAGAAGCACCTGGTCTTGAACCTGCAATTGTGTGGCAACCCTGTAAAGTCAAGGCGGGATGGGGTATCCGCCGCGTTGGATTTGCTCGGTACCCGAGCGTAGAACTGAATCATCTCGAGCTCCTGTTCCAATGCACAAGCATTGCTCAAGAGGGTCAAGGCCTTTGAATCGCTGGTCAGCTTGAGGAGCGACGTGCGCACCGCTTCAATGTCTAAGTAGCACATCACGTGTTTTCCCCGGAGAAATTCTCGGGCTAGAATGAAGAGCAGGAGAACAGCTATGCTCTCAAGCTCGTTGATGACTTTGGACTTTTTCCATTAAACAGGACTGCTCCCAGACCCATTTCGAGGCCTTGGAGTCCTCTTGCGAGGCGTCCGTAAAAGATACACCGTCTCTGAGGTCTGGGCTCGCACCGTCCTCGGCGGCGCTTCGGCTATGTAATGTCGTAGCTCCTGAAGTGCTGCGCAAAGGGAGGCTCTTGTTCTGTCTCCTGACATATGCGGGGGCATTGATGATGTCAGAGCTTCTTCTCATGAAGCCCTTCGGCAAGCGCCCAGAGAGAGTTGGCCCGCCACAAAGTGCAGCCTTCCCCTCAGTCGATTCCAGGTCTTAGGGCTGGAGGCTCCTTGCTCCCGAAAGACTGCCAGGTCTTCAATGAGACTTTTGGTTCGTTCTGCTGTATTCTGGATCCTAAAAAAAAACTTGCTCGCTGCTGTCTGTAAGGTCAAATTCTACTCCCAAAGAACTGAAGACCTCCTGGAACGGCGGAGCCTTGTCTCCGTCTCTGTCAAACTCAAAGCAGAGCAAGTCTAGCAAAAAAAAAACATGCACTGGCCTCTGCGCTAGGGGCCAGCTGTCGTGTTGACAACAGCGTGAAGTCATCCTAAGACGAGCTCCAAGGCAGGTGCCAAAACGTGTTTCCTGTCTGACAAATAGCCAAGCTGACCCTGAGGAACGCGTGGACCGCTGCCACGGCGCCGAATGGAAGGCAAAGAAGCCTGAAGAAGCGAACCTCCCCCTAGCTTGGGTCCTTGACCGCCACGTAAGCCATGTTGAGTGCCTCTTCGGACAGTGGCAGTCGCCTATTCGCTGATTCAGGTCAATGGTTTCCAAGCAGTCCTTGTCCTGCGTGCCTCGTTGATGTAGCTCTGGGACAGGTCGTCGATCAGCCTCACCTTGCTCCCTTGCTGGATTGCAAAACGTTGGCTGATTACAGCTCCTTGTGGCAAGCCCTGTTCTCAGAACGGTCCTTCCGAGCAGCCTTTCGATACTTCATCGAGACTTTTCAGCCACAGTTCTTCCAGAAACTGAGATGAGTCCTCAACTTCCTTGATGACCTGGTGGTTGGTCTCCTGGGCTCGCTGGAGCCATCTTCGTGACTGCGCTGCTCGATTCTCAATCACCTTGGCTGCGGGCTGTTTAGAGCACGCCAAAATTACCTTCCTGAGGGCGGGTGGCACCCCGAGACACAGGTGTCGGGGGTAGCCGACCAGTCGGGCTTTCGCCACAAATTCCTGTGGGTTCCACGGTACCTCCACCAGAACGTCCGTCGCAGAAGACAGTAGGGGCGTCGCTCTCAACGCCGGGGATCCTGGCGCCTTGAACCCCGGGATCTTGTCCGGTCCTAACCACTGTGTAGTTTGGAGAGTGCTGCGGAGTTGGCTGGGCACTGTCCATCTGGTTCGTCGGCAAAATCCGGGGATGACCTGAAAGGATGCAGCCCTTTTGGTCTTTGCCTGTGTCGTTACCACCCTGGCTCCTGAGGAGTTTGCGGGATCTCCCTCCAATAGATTAAGGCCATCCCGACAGCCCTTCTGTGTCAGATGCTGCAACAGCAGGGAAACGAAGTGCTTACAAAACTGTTGCGGGTACGCGGTCTCAAGTTTGTTGCGAGAACTCCCTCGTGCACTTCCCAGGGTAGGTGCTCGTGGGATCCAACACACGTGACAGCCAGGCCTGTGATGAGGTCGTTGTTGCACATCAAGGCTGTCAGCTTTCATTTCGAGCCTCCCATTATGCAAAAGTCGCACTGGACCACAATCGCCTGTTCACTCCTCAGGATGTGTTCAACGGCGATGCAACGCCAGAGGAGACTGCGATCGGGGTTTTCTATGATTACCACGATGCTGCATTCGCAGCAAAAGTCCCAGCTTTGGGCCGTGAGCCGGCAAAGCTCGTTGGCCTTTGCCACCCTTTCGGGCCCGGAAGCCCTTCCGGGTACTCCACTGACCTCAAAGGATGCGGCTCGTCCTCCCACGGAAGCTAGATTTCCTTGGCCCTGCTGGATGTTTCCACAGCAGACCTCTGTGCGACAGCAGGAGCAAGACCAGCTGTAATATCTTGCCCTTGAGGCTTGGCCTGCGGACTTTGTCCACTCCGACCGACCGCCTGAGGCCGGCTGAAGCAGCCGCCGAGGTAATCCCGGCTGACCCTGCGAAAAACTCCAAAACCCAACACTCATGTATGGTCTGGGGCGCAGTACATTGCGCCTGTCCAGACCTGTTCGCGCCAGGATGACTCGCCTTAGGTGAAAATACGGAAGCCTCAGCGGAAGACTTGGAAAACTGTGGGATTGGCTCAGTCACCCGTAGGAGCGGGGGCTAATTCTCTTGGCCTTTCGCAACAGCAGCAGGATGCGACTCCTTGCAGCTCTCTTTGGGCCTGTCCGCCAAAGAAGCGGAAAATTGTCATGTTCACAAAATTGGGCTGAACTATCTCCATCCCCCATGGCTGTTTCCGCTCTCTCCGCGCACGCTTGTGCGCGACGCGCGGTCAGAGCAGTGCGGGACGCCTGGTCCAGCGCGGAGGCGCTGTCAACGTCCCTTGCAACGGGGCGTTCTTTCAGGCTGCCTGGCCTGAGTGCTTGTGCTCAGAAAAGGGATGCTTCCGAAAGCAACCTGGGTGACAGCGTACATGTCTGCCACGTGCGCATCTGCCCCCCAATGGGGCATCCTTGCACTGTCCTAGGTTGAAGCCAAAACAAAGAGGATCTCTGTGCTCGTCGTTCGGCACGCCACCTCGCAAGGCGGCCGGCATGGGGGTCTCCCCCTTGCCTCCTTGCAACACACTGGTTCGGAAAGCCGCCCTTGCCACTGTCAAATTTGCCCTTCGTGGGGAGGCGGGCTCCCTTGACCCCTGATTCGCCTCTCTGGTTTGTCTGTCCTCTGATATTTTCATTGCCCATACCTTTTCCATCGCCCCAACGGTTGGGGGCCCTTGCCCGCGCCTTTGCCTCCTTTATCTGTGAACCCTTCCGCACGAGGTGTCGGCATGAAGTGAAAATTGACTGCAACCGTGTTTGTGGCTTGCAGGAAGACTTGATCTAAGCACCGGGCGTCCGCGAGCGGCACCTTCGCCGCTGCCCTTTTCAGGGTCGGCTGTTTGCTGCCAAGCTCCCTCCAAAATTCCCGATCTGCTCGCAGGACCTGCTGCAGCGTCGGACGGTTGAAGCCTGGGGGCGCTGGGGTCTGCAAGGTATCAAAGTCCTTCTGAAGCCGTTTCTCGTGC